GTTCTTGAGCTAATCTGAAGGCCACATGAAGTTTGGAGGTCTGTAGTGATTGACTCTGCAGAAAGTTGGCGACCTCTTCGCACTATGCGCGTCAGCATCCGCTGACCCCGCTCCGTCAGTTTACGTGGCCTACCACTTCGTGGCTGAGTTGCTGTCGTTCCCAAACACTTCCATTTTCTTATAATACAGCTGACAGTTGACTGTGGAATATTTAGGAGCGAGGAAATTTCACGACTGGATTTGTTGCACAGGTGGCATCCTATCACAGTTCCACGCTGGAATTCACTGAGCTCCTGAGAGCGACCCATTCTTTCACAAATGTTTGTAAAAACAGTCTGCATGCCTAGGTGCTTGAATTTATACACCTGTGGCCATGGAAGTGATTGGAACACCTGATTCCAATAATTTGGATGGGTGAGCAAATACTTTTGGCAATATAGTGTATATATATATATATATATATACACATATATATATATATATATATATATATATATATATATATATATATATATATATATATATATATATACAAAAAAAATTATGACATTTTCTAAATGTGTAAAAAAGGAAATTCACAGAATTTCACTAGAATAAACAAACTTTTCATTTGCAGTTCAAATATGTGTTATGCATGTTCTATTCAAATATAACACGCCGGTCCAATTTTTTTTATTTGTTTGACTGAAAACAGACAAAAAAAGCCTGCAAATGCTATGACTTTCTATGATTATTTAAGCCAATACTTCCAGCTGCTCTAGTGCTTGATGTGCATAGCCTACTTAATCAAATAGGCTAAACTGCTCACATGACACACCACAGCATGTGGCATAGATGGCTTCTTAACAGTTAGCAGGTAACAGACTAGCTCCCACCAGATCAGTCAATATTATCCAGTCACTGAAAAAGAAAAACTTCCAAATTTAACATTTAAATCATACAATCAGAAATCCAGCTTGAAATGAATCTTCCAATTGCACATTTTAGATTTAATTATTAGAGAGGACTTGTAAGATGTATTCATTAATTTATACTGCAATTGTTTTATGATTGTATTTCTGAATGGATATTTAAAAAACACACTTCATTCACCTATCATTTAATCCCTTTTACTTTATCCTCTCCATTTACCTTTTCTATGACCCTTCTGGTCTCTGCACCCTGTAAACCAAGTGATGTAGCCTAGTTCTTTTGACAGACCCATAGAAATTCAGAATTGTAACTATTCCTGAATTCCATTTCCACAAGTTTTGGGGGACCCCAGTCTTGGTCATCAACGTTTTATTTTGCAGGACAATCTTCGATTGTGAATTTTTGCAGCAAAACGTTTATAGACAACATATATATTGGCTTCTCTAAAATTCTCCTTAGGTGTGAGTGTGCGCGTGAATGGTTGTTTCTCCCTGCGATGGACTGGCGACCTGTCCAGGGTGTACCCCGCCTCTTGCCCATAGAAAGCTGGAGATAGGCAACAGCATCCCTCGCGACCCCACTGGGATTAAGCATGACAGAAAATGGATGGATGGATATATATATATATATTATACCCTAAGCTTGATGTAAATGTAAATCTTGCTGTTAGATACTGCATAGATTTAATTTATATAACACTTTTCTAGTCAATAAGAATAATATTCCTAAGCCTAGATCTGCTATATGATACTTCTTTTATGTGTCAGCAAAAAGAGAATACAGATGTGTCTTTATGAGCGTGTGAACAGTCTCGGATGTTTCATCCTAATAGCCTGTAAGTGATATTTTAAAACCAATACAATCCTGCAGCTGACATGCTAGGCAAAACATTTACTCTTAATTTACTCTGCTTTGCTTTCTGATATTGTCTCTAAAAGGAAAACAAGTTTGCACATGCGATCTGCTCAACCTCAGTATTTCAAGCTCTTTTGGGATTACGCCTTTCTTTAATTCTGCACATTTCTGATTAACTAATCACCAGGTGAAATTCATCTCTCCAACAGAGATTATCTTGTCTGAGTCTAGATAATGTTAACTGTTAATCGTTTTTTTAAACAGCCCTTCCTGCCATTATTTTTATGATTTTTTTCCTTTATGTATAGACAATAAACTTCCAACAGCACATTGTTCGATTAAATCCACCTTCTGAATCACTGAAGTGAATATCCTGTGATGAATAGGATATAAGTTAGATCTCTCTGTTTCATAATCTTCCTCTAAGGTGCAAAACAAAATAAACTATTTGTTGTTGAGCAATAGTCTGCACAAGCTCTTATGGTTAGACCTGAATAGAAGACATTTCTCTTCTTAGCTGTGGCCTATATAGGTTAGGACTTACTGGAAAAATACCAACTCAGCAGTTCTGCAGATTACTTCTTTTGCAGTGTCCAATCCTTCTGCCCAGATGAGTGTATCCCATAATACATCGAAGATTGCACTGTTTGGATTTCTATTTTTTTTTATTGCATTGTATTTTTATTACCTATTTGATCCACATATGTGCCACCGGAAAACTGCTGCAGGAAAGGAAAGGGCTAGGATTCTGGAAAAAAACAAAAAGAAAACACTTGCAGCAAATTGAGAAAGATTTTTTAAAGGCACAGATGATGAGAAAAAAAATATTTACTTGTGTTTGAATAAAGCTGATGTGGGTCCGATAGTGGGAAGCTAAACTACTGCTGCCAGAGCCTCTGTATTTGTTACCTAGTGATAGGCCAATTTTCCCTAGGCCCTTTTTTTCTGCAGCAATTTCCCATGAGTATGCTACTTTTTGGGAACTTACTAGGGCATAAGGAAAACTTTCTTGGTTGGAGGTTTGGTTTAAGACTAGCCTGTGAATTAAGTTTAGGGTTAGTTATGTGTTTATTATGGCTGGGGTTAGGGTAAGGCCCTGGTATAGGAAACACGACTGATTGTAAAATGAATGGAAATCAATGCAAAGTCTCCATAAAGGAGCAGGACTGCGTGTGTGTGTGTGTTTAAGGGACTCTACAGAGACCTCTGGGCATTTTATCACACTGTCAAAAACACAGAGGAGAAAATGGCTTTTAATGAGTCAGAGGGAACATTATAATTTTGACTCAGTAACTCAGTAACTGTGGGATAAAAGTCTGAAAGGATTTTGAGCAAAAGGATTTTATTTTTTCTAGCTGATGTTCCACAGAACGTAGAGAGAACTAGTGATGCTATGTGTTAAGAAAAATAGAACAACTGTTTTATTAAACAGAAAAAAAAAATCATGCTCTACTTTTATTTTTTTTTTTAGAAATCTTTAAAAAGAACATGAACTGATTAATGCACCTCTTGCTAAGAGGCCCAGAAATGCGAACAAGCACTTTGAACAGTTTTCTTTATTAATTGTTTTTGTTGATAAGCTCAACAACAAACAGGGAATATTTTTCCAAAAACAAACAAATTTATGCGTAAAAGAGGTTATTATAGATGCAAAACATAAAAAGGCTCTTGCAGGTTCACCCAGTTAAAAGAGAAAAGAGCAGCAGATGATTATTTAAGGTTGACCGTCTTTGGATTTTATGGTTATGTTGTTATCTATATGGATTAGTTTTAATTTGATAAATCAGGGATCTCACCTTTGCTTTTCAGGTCAAGTCCTTGAATTTCTGTGTTCCTATCTACAGTCAAATAATTGAAAATAAATCCCCAAAATTAACCGTGGTTGATTAAAAAAAACTGTACTATGCACCCTAACATTTCCTTTGAAATGTTGCCTTTGAGAGCTCCATGGTGTAGCAGTGGCTAGCTCTGCTGCCTTGCAGTAAGAAGGTTTCCGGGTTCGATTCCAAGCCTGAGGTCTTTCTGCATGGAGTTGTGATTAAGGACCACTTAATATTACCCAGAGGCCCACAAATAATCCCTGGGCCAAATTTTGGACACCCCAGGATTAATGCATCCTAATTGTTGATGAACTTTTCTTAGATCTGCTAGAGCTCTATGATATGTGGATGCCTGATTTATTCACAAACAACTTAAAGAATAAAACAGAGGGGGAAAAAACAGGAAGTTCAAGTTTGTGGTCTACATTCCTCTGATTCTGTTATTCTAGTTGTCTGTTAAATCCTTTTTTAAACTAGTTATGTTTTCCTTTTGACTGTATGGCTTTACAGTTTGTGCTCCATTTCTTATGCATCCTTTCTACAGTTCTACAGAGTTCAGTTGGACTAAATTTAAATTGGAGAATTTTATTCTGCTTCGACCAAAAGGGCAGTGGGATATTGCATGCCAATTTTTATAGAGTTTACCCTCTAATACCTATGAAAACTATTCATCAATTAATTTATTTCACGATAATGAGCTACTTTGTGATGGACTGTCGAATAAAATCCTATCAAGGCCAATTAAAAACATTGAAGTTTCTGGATGGTGGGGTTCAATAGTTTTTTGAGGCTTTATACATACATTTAAGAATTAATTTAACAAACATGAATTATACCAAACTAGACATGAGGGTAAAGACAAGCACATAAGTTCTCTTAAGAAATACGAAATCTAGAGATCTGCATATGGAATCCAAATATTCAAATGTCATTTTACCATAAATCAATCTGTCGCTTCAAGTGAAACTTTAAACTCACATTTTTGTGTAGGAGTTGCTTTCAGTCGGGTTCCATGGGGACATTCTGCTGAACATGTTTTTGTTGACTTCACAAAGCAATGAGTTTGGTAACAAAGACACTTAGTGCTGTCAGTGGGGAAAAATGCGAAGGGAACGTCGTCCTCTCTGGATCGGAATGTGTCCCCTTGCCCCCGTCACAGAAGCCAATTCAGTCTGGGCCACTGGCATAAAAAGGTGCCAAATACCAGGTGACACATTGTTAAAGCTGCTCACTATATCCCTGTCACACATCTGTTTGAGAGGCAATAAATCACATCCAGTTATAGTCCCCTCCTGGAGTGACTGGATTCATCTAATCAAATGTGTTCCTCTGAAAGTGTCCAACTGCTTGAATTTCCACTAGACTAATAAAACCAAACATAACCCATCTGGAAATGTCTTTTTGACCCCTCAGGTTCAGCCTACTATGACAATGTGCGGCCATTAGCGTATCCCGACTCGGACGCTGTGCTTATCTGCTTTGACATCAGCAGTCCGGATAGCCTGGACAGCGTGGTAAAAAAGGTCAGTGCGTCATTTCTTGCTAAAGTGTAAATGAGTAATGATGCTTTATGTTCCTCATTATTTGGGTTTTTAGTTATACGTTTATATTTGTGTCTTTGTTCAGTTCTGGTCATTATTATTTTTTCTTTTCTTTCCTAGTGTTATCTTTTTTGATTTTTTTTATTGAGAAAAAAACCTGTTTTTTTTTTTTTATTTATTACTTAAAACCATAACACCAAGGAACTGATTCACAAGGATCTCGCATAAGGAGCACTAAAGCACTACTGGAAATAAAATATTGCATATGCAATTAGTGGGTGCTTTGCATTTTATCCACTAAGATTGCCTGCACAATTGATAACGGGAGCAAAAGTGTTCACTGGTTTACTGGAGTTTTTGGAGAGCAGATTGGTTTAAGCGTATGGAATTGGGAGGTATCTATGTATCTCAAAGTACTGGTAAAAAAAAAAAAAAGTAAAACACTGAACCTGGAAAAAATAAATGTTTTCAGTCTTTTTTCAAAGACTACAGTTACCCTAAAATCATCAACAGAGGAAATGACCTTTGCCCGTCCCTTCACAGGATATAGCTTAATGTTTTATGGGTAGTTTTGCATCACATTTGCATATATTCCTCTCAGTGTGTTACATAGTCTGGTCACCAATATATGTTAGGTATATTTATGAAGGGACACACTCTTATAAATTACATTAAGACATTACATTTAGAGGTACAAACTGTATGCACACCTGGTAGGTAGATCAGCTTTGTGTGTGCTATCAAAGTGTTTTTGCATAGTCAAACCTCTGGTAGATTAGCGCCCATGCTTTTTGAAGACACACTTGTTCTTAGAAGCCTATCGTGGTTCAGGACAGTAGGTTTGTTTTAGGCTTCGTTTACTAAGATCCATGTTTTGTTTTAAGGTTTCCGCATATACTTTGACTGTTGCACAGCTCATTTAAACTCTGTTTAAAAAAAAAAATATAGCAACTGGCAAGTCTATTATCTCACCCTGTATAAACTGTTTTTATAATTCTGCATTTCATTTATAAAAAGCAGAATAAATTAAAAAAAAACAACAACCAAGAAATCCCCTCTGAATTACTTTAAAGTAAATACTTGTTCTCCCATCAACTTTGACCTCTTGCTGAAAAATAGCTCCTGGCATGCTCTGATAAACTGATAGTTTGCTTTCTGTCTTTTTGTATCCCATTAAATCATTTATATTGTACAAACCCTAGTAGTAAAAATGTTCACTTAGGGTTTGGGTGCATTAAAAATGATGAGCAATGTGTTACTAGTGTAGATTCTAATCTTTGAACAAAACAGATCTCAAATCAGTTCCTTAAACATCTTTAAGTATGACTAGATTTCAATCCCTGATGTGAGTTTATATTTAAGGTGGCATTTGAAATTTAGAGAAAAGGTTGAAATAAGGTGAAATAATATAGAAATGAACAAATATGAATTTTCAAGCTCATAAATTAAGCCACAGTAATTTAGGTCGGCTACAATAATCATTGTGCATGGAATCTTCCTACAGCTGGGATTGTGTATAAGACATCCCTTTCAAATGAATGTTAACGGTATGCAGTGTAGCACCCAGCAGACTCTAAATGACAATAAATCAGGCTAGTCCATGTGCGTCTTTCCCAGAGAGTTTCTGTACTATAGTAATCCTCTCTGAGGCACAGCCGAATCAGGATGGTCCATCCGAATTGGGAAAATTGGTAAGGACACTACCCCCTAAACCAAAAGGGTATCAGTGGTTGCCATGTTAAGGGATGTCTGATAAGTCCTGGCAGTAAGGAAGGAGGTAGGAAGAGGAAGCAGGATGCTTCCTATCATTAGCTCAGTTTGCATTGGAATGTCCGCCAAGGCTGAAGACTTCTCAGAGTTGAACAAAAGTACTTTAATTCTTCACTTGTTCTCTTTGTGTCACATGCAAATGCCCGTACCTTCATATTTTGGGGTAGAGTATGATCTGTTTGCTAAAATTGTTTGATTTTGTTCTTTGTAATTTTTTTCTGAAAGGCTGTGTTTCCAATTTGATTCGCATCATCCATGTGCATGTCCGTCGTGTGATGATGTCCATAAGCTTAAAGGCAGTCTGGATTCAGGAGTTTATTTTTCTATCCACAATAGTGTTCTTATTGTCAAACCAGTGAAAAGTAAAGGGATCTGAGCATGAATCTACAATTTTCGCAATTTAAAATCAGCCAAAAGGCTTTGTTCCCTCATCAACTGTCATTCAGCTCCATAGAGGCCTGATAACAATCCACTAATTTGGTTTAGGCGTGTTAGAGAGGATATGCATTAAAAGTTGCAGAAAGGCAGCTCTTTAGTACTGGACTTAGACCCTGCACTAGTCATAAATCATTCATGAGGATGTTTAGTCTACACCAGGGGTCTGCATCCCTCATTATCCAAAGACCAATTTGTACCATGAGTCCCGTTAAATGAAACTTGTTTAGACCCACAGATGTTCTATGACATTTAGAGAGAAAATAACTTTTACTGTTTGATAAAAATCTACTATAAGAACATTGTCATTTATAAAAAAAAAAAAAAAAATACAGATGGGTTTAAAACAAAGAAAATATGTCGTTGGCAAAAGTGGAAGCACACATTTTTCTGCAATATTGATATCTGTGGAAAATTATGGTAAAAATCCTTTACAGTTTCCTGCCTAATGGGTGAAAAAATTGGCAAAATAAAAATAATATTTTCATTTTAGTATTATCTTGTGTAAATTCAGTGCAATGATTTTATAATAAAAACTGAAATGTTACTTCCTTTTTTATTGTATTTATATCTACAGTTAAAGTTGGTATTCTATTTCAGCAAAAGTAATTAGGAGCCACTGTTGATGTTCAAACAGCTGCTTTCACTTCAGGAGCCCCAAAATGCAAACTCCTTATTGAAACAGAGGAATCAGAGTATTTTGACAATTACATTCTAGAAAATAAGCTACACAGTAAAAATAAATGCACTAAGAGAAGCTTAACTTGCATTGTGTTTCTTATTCCTAAATTAAATATAGACAGAAAAAAAAAACATTTAAAAACACCCTATGGATGATTTCAACACACAAACCACATTTTAGGTTACCAAAGAAGAAATCTTTGCCTTCTATTCTGTCTGAAGTTTTGTCCTTGTTGGAACACCTTCCACTCATACCTTTAACTCGTATCGTATTATGTCATCAGATTTGAAACCAGTAGTTCATCAAAATCCAGTCTCAATACTTTACTCCAAAATGTGCCAACATAGAAATTATAATTCTAGTAGCATGAGTTATGTTCACTGCATGCTGCAAATAGCATGCTAATGTGTCTGCAATCTATCTTCCAATGCAAAGCAATGACACGGAAAACGGCTTCAAGTTACCTCCAATTGGGACATACAGACTGGAATCAGGAGGACAGCAAGTTTTGTTTTACAACTAATATTCAGTACATTGAATAATTAATTAACTTAAAATTCAATGTGTAAAACTAATGAATGCACTTTAGCTCTACTATAAATAATTTAGTGGCTGCAATATGATACCATGTGTTGCTTTTTTGCTACATTTTAAAATCAAACAGGATGAGGTAGATAAACAGTAAAAGCATGAAATGAAAATGTAAGATATAAAAAATTATAAAAGCGAGTGTACTTAATTTAAAACCTTTGTGTTTTCTTACCGCCAACTGTTTTTAGTTTAGTTGGTGCACGGTGATTGATGTGCTTTCAGCCTCAAGCATTCCTGCCATCATTCGTCAGTGAGATCGTCGAACCAAAACAAAACAGTTGTTTTTCATTGAGGGCACATTCCCACATTTACAGGGGTCCACTTTAGCATTATCCCTGACCTGACTAAATGACCTTAGTAAATGGTGATGAATAAGCACATTTAAAATGCATACACATAATGCAAAAGTGTCATGTTGAGTGTTTAGTTCAAAAGATTAAAAGTCAAAGTGAAAGATTTGAATGATTTGGGTCTGCATTGGTTTGATGCGATATCTGGTGTCTCTTTTGTCAGGTTTGCTTTGGCCTTACTCTCCATCTGCTTTCATCCTCAAATACATTTCTGTTCGACTTTCTCTGACAGCGTTCCCACAAATCAGTGTTTGCACACACCAATTTTGCTTTCAGAGCTTTCCTTACTCCTTTTATCGCTCTCTTTTGTGTGCCTCCATTCTCAGTCTGTGCAGAAGTCTCTATCTTGCATTTTAGAGTGTCTTTATATGTCTCATATAACCTAAAATAAAAAAAAAAGCAGCTTCCATCCTCCTTTCGACACTTCAACCTTTGTGAATGATACATTTATGTACATGCTCTCTTCTTAGTCTCTCATCGCAAGATGCCCCATACTGTAATTTGCACTTTTCTTTATTTTGCTTTGCTGTTATTAAGGAGTTGGATAAGTATTGACATATAATAAGCAGTTTCTAGTACTTCAGAAATCTTGTAAATTTCTAAAGGCTAACAAGAAATAAGAATTTATAAGAAATGTAATTGGAGCGGTTAAAAAAAAAAGATATCTTCTTTGAAAGGAAAGAAAAAAAACATATTGCTGCTAAGTTTAAGAACATCTTAAGGCAGTAATGATGTTGTTTTCTTTTTTTTTGGTTAAGTTCAGCCTTTGTTGATACGGCATGATAAGGCCTTAATGATTTTTAAGTGTGTTAGGTTGAAGTTAACAACTGTTATAGACCCCTTTCTGTATATGCCCTAAGCAGGTGCTTAGTTTGCTTCTGTCTTGGGCAGGCTGCTTAAAGACATGGATTTGCATCACCTACATTTCTCTTTGCAAAGTTTTTATCACAAGCTCTGAAAGATCTAGGCAGGAGACAGAAATACATGTATAAAAAACAAAATAACAAAAAAACTAAACAAAATAAGTAAAAAGACGAAAAAATTGAAAATAGCAACAACTTTAAAGTAGTAAAAAATAGTCTGAAAAGAAAGAACTAATAAATAACAACATTAATGTGTTTGCTACCCAAGCTAATTAATTTTAAAATCCTGCAAACACTTTTAAAAAGCATTATTTCATAAATCTACATGCATTTCTTGCTCATAACAGCATCTGTACCATGTACTGTATTTAAGGTAAAATTATAATTTAAGTTTTGTTTTAAAACCAAAGTGTTTTTCTCTCAAATAACTACAAATAACTACAATAACTGTAAAATAAACAACATGAAGTGTACAAAAAAGGAAGTAAAAAAAATTTAAATAGATTTTTATATCTTTTTTTAGATTTTTTATTTATTTTTTGTTAGAAATTATAGTTGTTTGTGTTAGTTTTGCAAGACATGATTCTTTTCTAGTGAACCAAACAAATATCTTTCAGTATAAAAGTCTTAGCTACTAGTAGCTATTCTGTCTTTAACCAGTGACTAAACCCATTAATGTTCATCTGTTGCAGCTTTCTTTTATCTACACCTTTGCATAACTGGTTTTTGCATGTTTTTATTTTGCACCATCCTTGTTCACGCTTGTATTTTTAGACTGAACTGCAAAACAAAGCTTCATGTTGTCCCTTTGATGAACCAGACTCTCTGCTCCAGCAGCTCGCATTCTGACGCTCCTTTATGCACCAGTTCTTAACAGTAAAACAGACAATAAGCTGCTCTTCCCATGGGCCCTTTGTGACTCATGTGAACGGCTGCGTTTCACCAGTTGCACACACAGGACCTGTAGCAACAACAGCAGCAGCCGGGCATACAGGAGAAAAGAAGACGTCTTTGTAAGGCAAAACAAATAGAGCAGCAGTGATCAGAATGCTCCCTCTGCCTCAGTGTGGGAAGATACTGAAAGGAGTCTCTGAGAGAAAGATGGATGAGAAGCGTCTAATAGCTAAAGTCATGTCTGTAGTCTGTAATGAGTGTTGTCCATCTTTGTCTTCAAATCTCATGACTGTTGGCAAGATTTGAAAACAAAACTGCAGCAGTACATTTACAGTAAAAATTATATATCATCTCCCTTGAGAAAAAGGTGTGGAAAAGGCCTTAAAATTAATGTGTCTTTTATCATAGAAGCATAACACTGAAAGGAAAAAAATCAATCTTTAATTTTATTAAATTTATTTAGTCATAAAAACTGATTAATTTAAGCAAACATTGCTTTTTTGTTGTTGTTGATCAGAGTGGCTTTTTTTTTTTTAGAGGTATAAATATGATGTGACTCAGGTGCATATTTGTCTAAGCCACTCATCAAAATGGATAAACAAGAAATTCAAGTAAGACAGATATGAGATCATCTTTATGAATAAGGAAACGGTTACATGGAAAATAGCTACTTGCATAAACTTCTCCTCTGCAAAAAAGGATTTTAAAACGCATCATAGTGTGATGAAAAAACATGTAGATTTAAATATACAGAGGAGGGTGCTAACAGAGAGATTGCACCAGTTTTAAAGTGGAACATAGCTTGGATAATAACCATATATTGAGAGCCTTTGTCTCTGCACCATCCCAGGTCACTCTTTTGATGCCATTTATTGTTAATAGGCTGAGAAGAAGTTTGTGTTGTGAACAGGTAAAGAGATCTGTGAATTGCAAGCAGGACGAGCCTAAAAACCTGCTAAAAGAGTCAGCTGACTGTAAATAGGAGATGACGCGTTCTGCTCAGGCACTCTTTGTTATCAGAGAACGGTGCCACAGATGAACCATACAGTAAGGTGACCAGATTTCTGAAATCAAATCTGGGGACATTTCTTGCTCGTGGATAAAAATCAATACATTTTATCGAGATGAAATTAGGAAATGGGGACAGTAATGGTTTCATATATTTTTACATATTTATTAATATTTAAACAACAAAAATCAAGTGTAAAAGCCAGGAATGTGCCTTTCCAAACGTTTAGTGTATCCTAAGATTAATAACATGAATAGTGTTATTAGTAGAAAACTAGAACTGTGTCTCTGGGCTGGGGCAAAGTGGTGGGGGTGGGAGCGGAGGGGTCAAGGGTCATTAGCAGGGCTTTCCAATTTTGTCGGGCCCAAAGAGCTCTGCCGCCTCCTAAGGGGAGAGTGACATGAGGAAAAGAAATTTAGAAAAGTAAATACAAACATTTATTCTATGCCTGTGGCTGTCTGTTGAGACAGTTTCCCCACCTCTTCAAAAAAGTGCAACAAATACTTATTCTGTTTACATCTACTGTACATGCCTATAAGAAATATTTTTTTCTTCATTAACATAAAAAAACAAGTAGTAGTCAAGCCTGCAGGTAAAGGTTCATATATGTTTCTTACTGTCACCTAGCCACATCAGGGGCCTGTGTGTCTCAAAGTAGCAGGTTCATTTTTCCTACTAACCTGAGTATACAGCCACTCTGTGTTCCACAGCATACTTTGCACACTACATCACTCAATATGTTAGTTTATCACTCAAATCATGTCAACGCTTTATCACTTGAACTTTATTAATACATATTATACATTTTAAATATTTGAAACAGAAATATTAACTGAACAGGGTCTGAGGCAGTGGCCCTGGTAATTTGGGTAAAATAATATAAGAGAAGACATAGCAAGTAAAAAGCAAAATAACCTTTTTAAATATCTTAAACAAGTTTAACCATTGAACAGCAGAATAGGCTTAACATCAACACAATGTATATAATCCAAGAATAGTTCATATTTATAAACAGCAATAACATATACATATATAATTTCCCAATGGAAATTCTGATTGTAATTTCTCCGTAAAATGACACTTCCTCTTCTTTGAAAGAGCCATCTGGTCATTCAGTCTTGTCTGTTTTCTTCCCTCTCCACCTTCGCTTTTGTTTCTAGCCCTCTTTTGACTTCTGCCTGCTCTCTGCTTTACTCCTCAAAGTAAAATTTTCTCCCTTCTTGTCAACCGTTTTTTCTATCAGAGTTCCTAGATTCCTCCTCTCTCATTCAATCTCCTTTCTGTCTTTCTATCTTCTTCCTCACTCCTCCAGCATCAATCTTACATTATTCTAAAACAGAGACATTATATAATCAAAATCACCACCAAAACAAATTAGGATGTGCAACATGAAAACTTATTATTATTAATATCTCATCTAAATACTAAAAATGCTAATTACCACAATATTAGGAGCTACAAGCAAAAACCACATAATAAATAAACATTAAACAGGTGGTTATCTCTTCCTCCATCATTCTCAGATCATGTAGATCTTGTCTTATTCAGTTCTCCTGTTACTGACTCCTATTTTTTCACAAGGAACGTTCATATATATCCAAACTGAGCAGTAAAAAAGCACACCAAAAACTGGAAGTCTATGCTCATAAATCACAACCATAAATCATCAAAACAAATTGAAATAACTCTACTTATAATAACTATCTGAAATATAAACTAAAGGTCACCTATCCATTCTAAATCATCTTTATACAAACCCTTGTTGATCCCTGGAGAACCAGCGTACCAGATTAGCGCTTTACAAGGAGTTTTCAATCATTTTGCTACATTTTAACCCAGCGTCTTTTACTCATGCTCAACTCGTGGTCTTGTCTTACTTTTTATTATTTTTTTAACCTGGACACAAACCAAACATTCATCACAAGATCAGCCCGATCAGAATAAAATAAATTGATTAACACACTTACCATCACTCAGCGTAGCTCCCCATCAGTTGCCACAGGTTGTAAAAAACGAACTTCCACTTCTTCTTCTTCTTCTGTTTTAAAAGTGATGCGCTCTTCTTCTTCTTTGTGTTTTAATGGCAGCTGACATCCAAACGGATCATTACCTCCCTTCTAGTGGTGCGCTCTGTTCCTTATCTTTATGTTATCAGCAGCGCAACCAGCTACCGTAATACCTATTTTTGCGCGCAACAGCTCTACCGTAATAACAGTCTACACGCAAGATTTTCCGCCTCGGTAAAATCGGGGACATTTCCGGGGACAGCTTTAGCCGGGGACAGGTGGTCCAAAACGGGGACAGTCCCCGGAAATCGGGGACGTCTGGTCACCCTACCATACAGAGCCCTACTGTTGAACTAGTACTAGATTTAGGGTGGTTCGTTTGGGTCTGGAATGGCCCAGTTCCATTTACACTCAGTTTACAGTTATCTTGGGTACCGTGCTCAGACCATTCTAGGCACGATTTCAAAAAGGTAGTGTAAATGGGACTAAAGCTACTCCAAGAGCTTAAATATTATATCCTCAACATGTCCTTTGTGTCTTTTCTATGTTTGCAAGTGAACACATTTCAATTGTTCTTATTAACTAATTTATTTTTGTCAAATTCTGAGGTAAAAAATTAGCATTTTAATGTAATTTAACAGTTGCTGTTTAAATTAAACACTCTTCTGGTTAGTATCTAGAAAATGAGTTGAAGCAAATTAGAATTATATTTCTTTAAAATACCAACCAAAGTGGATAACTGATTAGCCTTTTAAGGTGAATGTATTGATTTATGTTTTCCTATCTTGCACACAGTGGCAAGCTGAGAAGAAGGAGTTCTGCCCGAATGCCAAAGTGGTTTTGGTCGGCTGCAAGCTGGACATGAGGACAGACGTCAGCGTCATGAGAGAGCTTTCCAAACAGAGACAGATCCCCGTTACTCACGAGCAGGTGAGTGCAGCACCCTAACTTATTTGTTTATTACAAACTGAACAGCATCTGGTTATATTCAGCTTCTTTATTACATCTAATATTAAACCCACAATCAATTACCACCTTTATCACAGATTTACTTACAAATTTGTGAGGAAAGTAACAAATAGGAGCAGTTACTTTCATCCCTAGTGTACACAAACCAAAACTTCTGAAAATTAATTTGAAGAGTGGTATTTGCTCCGCATCATAACTTTCATAAATATAGAAACTCAGCGAGTATAGAAGGAGCTGGAATCGAACAAAAACGGAGACAAACAGCAGTTGTGTGATAAAGCAATTGTTTTGTTTTCGTCTCGGAGCAATGATCAGCGGCGTACGTGAATTTTAATTGCCTATTTCCATGTAAATGTGAAATCACACATCTTGGCAGCCTTTTGTCAACTAATTATTTTTTTTTCTCACTAAACAAAAATAAAGGACCTTTGCTTGCTCAGTTTGGTGAGTCGAGCACTTCAGATCTGCTCTGTGAAATCGATGAGCTGAACTCCAGCTTTAAGATTACACCAATAAAAATCACATCTTCTAGAATTGTAGCTGCTATTATGGAAAGTTTATTATTATTTCATTATTATTAACAGATTTATATGATATGTGGAGTTAAATTGGATAAACGACATTCTTGACAAAATGCAGCTCTGGTCTCCAAAATCTGGAAGGAAATTGGGTCAAATGTTTTGACTTGATGTTATATCAATATGCACTCATGTTGTCCTAATTGTCAAGGTTGGTTGATATTGTTATGGACCCAAATGCTGAAGAGTCAGAAATGGTTTCTTGCAAAATTTTACATAAAAGAATATGTAAAAATACAGAATCCATAGTCCAGAATCGAGAAAAAGATAACGCCAGAATCAAAAACTTGGAGACACAGAAGAATAATCCAAAGGAATTACTAGGATCCAGCAATAGAAATTAAAACAATCCACTGGACTCTGTTTCCAAATCTGAAGATGTTTTACTTCATTTGAATTGAAAAATCTTCCTGGATGGGAAGCGAAACGTCTTCACATTTGGTAACAGAGTCCAGTGGATTGTTTTAATTTTCTTTTTTTCGACTGAGAATCTTTTTTATGACTGAGAATCTTCCCCATCATGATCCAGCAATGGGTGTGTTCGATTTTAAAGGCTGCGTCCTCCAAGGACCCAGTCTATCTGGACTGCATCCTTCGATGTCCATGAAAATAAGGAGACAGGGAGAGTTTTGGCTGTGTGAAACAGGTCCATCCTTCCTTGACTTTCACCGCCCCTATTGTCGCTTGGCAACCGTGAGAGTTAACACACAAAGCAGGCAAAGTATGGATACTGAAGTCTTCACTGTTGTTCTGGGTGCTAATAAAATTTTCGAGGATACTCAGCAGTCCTGTCGTCGCGAATGTCAGATTTATTGTCCCCACACTGCACAGATATTGGAATCTGTGCTTAAATGTCAACCAAATCCATTTGCACAGGAGCAGATAAAACATTTCAATAATACAAATATTATCTGCCACATATCTGACCCAATAACCATTTAAAAAGCTACTCTCATTAATTTCAGACAGAACTATTCTCATAGTGGTATTATATTAAACTGCTCTTACAGTATTCACCACTGTTTGGCGCCATTTACCTTTTTTCTTTGAGCACAGAGCAGCCAGCTTGCTCTAACTCACAATGAATCCCAGGATATCCAAGGCTACGTAGGATACATACGGTGTATCTTTGCCCTAAACGGGCAAATAAAGGGATGCATTTATCGGCTGCATAACGAGGAGTCCGAACAGACCTTGGCTCTTCGCTATGACATAACCGGCCAATGAATCTGGCCTTCGGAGGATGCAGCTCATGAACTCAAACTCAACAAATGACTAACTGAACAGGAGTTGTATATATGGGAAACAGAACAATGGGAGGACTAATTAGCTGATAGGGAGCAGGTGTAAACAGAAGTAACTAGAAGGAGCTAAGGGGAAAGGAAAGGACACTAGAGGACAACAAAGAATAACCAGTGGAAACAACAGGATCTAAAGGTAAATAGAAAAGGCTAAAGGAGAATAAAACTAACTGCAAAATAAGGAATAACCAGGTAAAACTAGAGGATAAGAGAAGGGACAGATATCACTGAAGCCATGGAAGACATAAGCTAAACATAAGAGAAAGACTAACTATCACTAAAACTAGACCTAGGAATAAATAATACCAAAAATAATGAAAATAGAATAACAGGGAGGATTAAAATATATATATTAAACAAAATGATATAAATCTTTACAAAAACATAGAATAGCATAAAATAAAGGATAGCTGAGAACCAAATTGAAAACTTAAACAGCACCAAAAAGTCCAAAATGTAAGATCATAACATTAAGAGCCAAAATGTATACGTTAAAGGATTCTTTAGGGAACAAATGCATAAAAAAAAAAAAAGAAACAAAACTGGAATTAATTTGACTTTTCTTTTCACCATTTTAACACATTTCTATCAGAAATCCAATGTTGCTGTATTTGGGGTTTTATCTGACAAACCATGACAGAGAAAGTTAGAGTTTTATAAGAAAAACAAAGTTTTTTTTTTAAAGATAAAAATCTAAAATGCGTTGTTTGCTCAGGTATTCAGCCCCCTTTACTTGTATACGCCTAAATAAAATCTAATTGTATTTTAAGAGGTTTGGTAGAGATTATTAGGCAGCATCAGGAAAACCAGTGGCAGGTAGAGCCAAAATTTTACTCAAGCAAGAATAACTCTACCCAGCAGACAGGTCAGGACGTTAGCCGGGAAGCTAAAAGCAGGTTTAGGTTATAAAACTTCATCCAAACATCTAACAATTTTCTCTTCAATAATTTTTTTTTTTTAACGGAAAGCAAATGGCTGTCTTACAAACCAGCCTTCTGCTTAAACTGGAAGGACAAACGTGAAGATGAACGAAAAAAAATAGGCCCATGGTAACTCTGGACTCACAGCTCAGGTGGCACAAACCACTGACATGTCAACTAGCTGTGCACTCTATATATTGGGTGTTTCTAAAGCAGTAGACTGTACAGCATATCACAGATATACCATCATTTAGATATAACTGTGAGGAATATTCATATTAAAAATGAGAGTGCAGTAGTTTTTGGCTGTTATTTTCCAAATGTTAATTGGAACAATTAGTTAAGAGTCTCACTGCAGCAGATGCTTACTCTGCACACCAATGACATTCCCCTAAATGCTAAAGGTCCACAGCAATCCACAATGAGACAGAAAGGAAAGAGGAAAATGCAGCAATTGATGTCAGCATCGCAATATTTATCAACATTACGTATATGCTAAGTGCATTATGTATATGCAAATTTCAATTTGCAAAGGAACAAGTAGATGGAAATTAGTCCGCATGTGAAATCTGCTGTTTACAAATACTATTTGATAATTAAAGGGGAATTGGGTTCCTGTATTAAATGAATAAATAAGGAAGGAGGTGATGTGTTTAGATGGGGACTAAATTAGATATTTCTGCACTAAAGCAACATTCTCTGTTGGAAAACCGACTCTAAACATGCCATCCCAAGTGTGAAAACATCCTGTTACTTCAGCTGGTTTTATTAAATTGGAAGATAGACTGAGCTTAAATACAGGGCAACTGAAAAAAGAAAATCTTTCATGGCTGCAAAGGTTTTGAGACTGGGGCTAAGACAGAGGATATGTAAGGACTGGAACAGTCCTATCAAAATGGGCCTTTATATTAAATTGCAAATCTATATCAAGACTTGAAATTAGCTGTCAACAGGTGGTCTCCATCTAATCTAACTAAGCGTAAATTAATAAAAAAAAAAGAATGAACATAAACATTTCTGCCTTCATATTTGCAAAGCTGTACCCCCAAATACCTGCAGCTGTAAGAAAAGTAAAAGGTTGTTCTATAAAGTGTTTGCTCAGTGGAAATTAATGCTAATACAGGTTCTCTTATAACCTAAAACAAAGTGCAACCCTTTAAAGAATGCCTCTACCTTCTGAAAAAGTTGACCTACTCTTGATAATAAAAACGTTTGGAGTTAAATGTGAGGTGGTGTTTAACACCACGATTATTAACCAGAGCATTATGTTTGCGTTTTACGGTTGCAAAAACCTTAAATATTTTATTGCCGTAGGGATTTTTTCCCCCTTCGCCTCAAACAAGCTATCAGGCTTTTATTAGTTCAACTGCAATGTGATTTTCTCTCTGTTTGACCAAACATTACAATCTCATAACCACCAAACAATGCATGGATGATCTAATATGAAATAAATCAACACAACTATCAATTTTATGGTGCAGGGATTAAAGGATGCTGTGTTTGTGTTTTCCCTTTGTGACCATAAGGAGTTGTACAAACCGAGCAAAGTGTATTAATGAATACTGGTGGATTGCAAGTCTGAAACTATCAATATTTAGCCTTTCTTAATGATTCTGAAAATTTTGGAATTTGATTTAGGGATTTTAAAGGCCTAAAAAGTTTGGGAATGTTTTAAGAAAAAGAGTATGGAAATTGTAGCTTTCCAGAATCCTTCTAGACTATATTCTCATAGTGTTTCATTCTTCCTGACTTCTGTTTTTATCCCTCCTTGATTCCTACTATACTTCCTTCATCTTTCTCTTCCTTTTTATTCTCATTCCCTCGCTTCTTTCCTTCCTTATGTTTATCATTTCCTTTTTTTTGTGTACTTCTTTCTGATCTGTGTCCTTCCTTAGTGGTGTCCTTTGTTTTCTTGTCTCCTTTCCTACCTCATACCTCCTTTCCTCTTCTTTTCCTTCATGCCCTCCTTCCTTCCATCCTTGTGTCCTTTTTTATCACTCCTACTTTTATTCCTTCCTATGTTCTTTTTTCCAGGTTTCAGTTTCTGCATATATGTGTTTTGTAACATATTTATGTTCTGTGTATTTAGGGCACCAATTTGGCGAGGCAGATTGGCGCCGTGGCCTATACTGAGTGCACTTCGAAGTATTCTGAAAACAGCGTCCGCGATGTGTTCCACATCACCACGCTGGCCTCTGTGTTCAACGTCCATCGGCCTCAGCTCAAATCTGTGACCACACGTCGCACCAACAAGCGGACCTCACAGCAGCCTCCTCGGACTGAGATGCTCGGGGACCCGCCTGTCATTAGGAAAGACCGAGCCAAAAGCTGTGTGCTCATGTAGCAGCAGAGCCTGCTGATAGCCTGATCTGTGTCTGCTAATGGACATGAGCTCCACTGCACATAAACTTTTATAATTTATCTGTGAGTTCTTGTCAAACACTGACACCGCAGTAAGAGAAATATGGCAAAAAAAAACAAGAATGGAGTCCCATAGGGCTCTTATTTTGTCAGTTTTTTTGCAAAACTCTGCTTTAAATTTTTCTTTGTGCCTGTGCTATCATACCATGGAAGCCACTATAGCAACTGAAGCTATTTTTTGTCAAGGATTTTACATGAAAAAGGACAGAATCAGACTGGTTAAAGAAATAAAAACAGCAAAGTCAGTGATGAGAATAAATTAATAGTTTTAGATTTGAAATCCTGTCTTTGACTTCATTTGTCTGAGGAAATCAAGCACAATAAAATGCAAGAATCTTTGGTTTTTCCTCATTTAAACTGAAAATCTGGGCATAAATAAATACAAAATACAAAAAGACTGATGCACTGATATGACAAATTGTCTCAGACCACAAGTGCTTTAAAATAGAAAATTGCATAATAAAATAATCTGAAGTGCTATGTACTTACTTGTGTTCTAATTACAGAGGGAATTTGGGGCGTTGCACATTATATTGTACATGCAGTAATAAAATAAAATAAAAAAACTTGGTCTGCTTAGTTTAAAAAAATATATTTTCTCTCATTTATTCAACAGCGTTCAGGTACATTTCAGGTGCTCTAATTCAGATTAAAATTACAAAAGAAGATGTCAAACTAAATAATTATTAAAAATGTAAAATGGTAAAAAAAAAATTCAAACAAATTAAAAGGTAAAAAGAGTTCAATTAATTCTAAAAAAGTGAAAATACAAAATAAAAATTCAAATGTTGCATCTTTCAATTTAAAAACATGGTATTTGTTATGGGTTTATTAAACTCCAGTTTACACCTGACAAGCAGAACAACCTATTACCATTAAAACATTAAGGCTGAACCTCCCAGTGTCTTTGTAACCAGTCATTCTTGCAGCAGTCGGGTGTGGATTCCTGTAGCTAGTATTTTTTTATTTTTTGGGGGGGTATTTTTTTGTGTGCAAACCCCTGGGAATGACATCTGCACCGTTAAATGCTCGCTACATACAGTGCCTTGTAAAGATGTATTTTGTATGTAGATGTATGTATTTTTATTAACATCACAAACGGTAAACAATTGTGATGTGGAAGAAAAAACGTAAATGTTTCCTCATTTTTTTTCCTTCACCAATTAAAATTTGAATTGTGTTAAAAGGATTTGAGCTTGTAAAAATGTACAATGCATCTTTCCTGTGCCCCCCTCTATTCTGATATGCAAAAATAAAGTCCACTAATAATTAAATGTCAAAAATAAGCATTCTTTCTATTAACGTCAAAGTGAACCATTAGCACAAGGATGAGAACTGATAAATCTTTGACATTCATCGCTTCCTGAACCTTTTTTAAAAGGCAAATTAATTCAAATTAACTGAGGAATAATAAAACTGTATTGAAAATTGTTTAAGAAAAAATGTCCAAACCATCACTAATACATCAAGATTTGATCTTGTGCAGCTTCTTTGATTTAACAAATTTATTTAGTGTGAGCTTTTTTATTTTAATGAATTTCTGCATAAAGAACAAAATATTCTTTACTTCTATCACATGTTTTACTGTGTTTACTTTATTTAGCATGTCCATATAGTTGGAACATGCCGCCATGTGAAAAAAGTATCACCTCAATAAAGTTTAATTTCTCTCAAACTAATGTGCACATATCTATATCAAATGAAATAATTATGAAAGATGTTTTGATTAATAAAACATAAAAAAAAAAATAGATAAAAACATGTTCTAAAAACGTTAGGACATTCCATGAGCCAATGTTACCCCCTTCCTGTAGTTTTCTACCATCTGACATCAGTCCTACTCCTCATTTTGGATGTGAGATGTTAAAGGGTTTCTTGCACGTTCAACCCACTCTGAAGACTGAAGACACTCAACCTTCTTCTGAAGAGGATGCTAAATGTTGTCCATAATTTTCTTCACTTTATGAAAAATTATGCTGTGTGAAATCATCCTTAGAGGTTCCAGAAAAGTTCCTAGAACACTTTATTTTCTTTTTTTTATCTACAACCTTTTAGTTGTCATTGTATTTCTTGGTTGAGTTCTGATTCAGCTTTGTTTTATTTTTTTAAGGTCCCATAACCTCTGCTAAATCTCAGAATTCACCGGTTTCTGTTTTGATAAGATTGCTAAGTAATTTTACTCATGGTGAACAGGTCAGCTGTTCTGGTATCCACATGATTCAACTAATCTTTTCCAAAAACATTTTTCCTGAGTTCCTGGTCCGTATATTATATGGAACTATTTTATAATGTTTATTATTTAGAGCATCTTATAGATTTCTTTCACATTTTTATTGAACAGTTCATACTTTTTTCTCAATAAAATGACACCAATCTACGTGCGCCAATCTAGTCACTGAAACAAATACATTTTCCCCTATTTGGATAATTAACTTTCTTATTTTCAAATAAACAATTGTAACTTAATAAACTGTTAGATAGAGGATAATCCAAAAAGGGTTTCTCCATCTTCTGTTTTAAAGACACTATTGTTAAATTCCTCCTCAGTACACCTTCCATTTGTTCACTTTAGGAGCGTTCTGCTCTGAGGTAAAATGTAAAGAAAAATCCTGGATGGTGAGAAATCCAAGAAAGATCACAAACAGCATTATCCCTGCATGATGCAGGAGCACACCAAGGCGAATGTTTTAGGCAAACCTGTTTTCAAATGCTAATGTGAAATGTTTCAGTGAGATTACAGCCATTTTTTTATGAGATTAATTGTTTTATGATGCAATTCATTCATCAAAAACAATATTTTTACCCTCATGTTTTGCAAGGATGCAACAAATATATCATGTTGTGCTGTGGTCATTTTTCCCCCTTTTCCCGTTCAATCTATATACAGCAATCCCAATGCAATCCTCTGATATTAAAATTAATGCAGCCCCTCCGGTCTGTATTCATGAGTGTTGCGGTCTGACCTTTAAATGTGACTTTTGTTCCAGTTTGTTTCCCACCATCATGGATGAGACCCCACAGCAACTCGCTGCCTTTGTGAGCAGTGCCAACGTGACATTTCACAGCATCGCTGCCATATTTCCCATGCAGGGAGTGTGAGGTCACTCCACATGCCAGAGGAAAAACTGGGGCAAAATCCCTGTCAGGAAGAAGAGGATGTCCAGCAACAATCCAGACTCTGTACAGAGAATGCAATGAAGAGTAGCTCATATTTTTTTTTTTCTGCAGACATACTGGGACCTTTGGCTATCCGCACGGACATAATTGGATCTGAGTTTCAAACATCCATATTGCAACCAGCTCAAGCCCTTTTCAGAAAAAATCAAATTACGTTAGAGGAAGAACTTGCAGGATAAAAATGGCCTCAGGCACCATGTTTATTCAGCTTGTTGTTGCCAAAGATAATGCAGAAGATACTAAAGTCATTGCATATTAAGCCAACAGTCTTTTTTCTGAAGGAGCAGTCTCACCTGGTCTCAAAGACTCAAATTCAACCACCGCTGTGGAGTCTAATGCTGCTAATGGCCACCATTTTTCAGCTGCTTCTCATTAATTAAAGGGGACCTTTGTGAGAAAGGCAGCCAAAGATAAGTTGGCTTGTGAAAAATGAGCTAGAAGTGGTGAAGAAGGGTGAAGATCTAAGAGAAGAAAAAGAGAAAAATGTTTTTCAGCTCTACATGGATGCTGCTGTGAGATCAGTTTTCATGTTTTGCATCCACAGACTTTAAAATCCACCTTTCTATGCACTATAGAGGGATTGGATTTTTTTGGCATTATGACCGCAGAACAGTGGACAGGTGTAGGATTGTAATAATGTTTTAATTTTTTCATGTAGCCCAGAGCATAGCCGAAGGCACTGTTGGTAATTAGAATACAATGCCGCTTCAGGCATAAAAGGAAACCTTGAAACCTTGAGATGTGAAGCGACTGGCCTTGCAAGAGAGTAAAAAAAAAAGGACAGAGAAAAAAATAACTGCAAAGGATAAAAGAGAGGGAAATGCAGAGGAAGAAAATGGAGGAGGAGGATGAAAAAGGGGTGACGCCAACTGGGAACTAAAAGGAAGCTTTTTATAAGATAAATGCTCCTCTAGGTCCACCAATTATTATTACTTTTAAGTATGAAATAATTTAAAGGAAATTAAAGCAGAATCTAATTAGTCTTTAGAAGCAGTAGTAGTTTGCAAAAGCATTTATAAACAGTTAAAGATTCTATGTGCCAGGCCCACAACATGTAGACCATATTTGTAAACTGATATGCTGCTTTCAAATGCATCTAAAAAAATGAAGAAATGAAAACTATGGTTTGAAAATGTATTTCTTCAATAGTTTGTAGACCCAACCATGCCTACAAGTACAGCTGCAAATCCTTTGGGTGCATTTCTCTACTTATTTGGGAACTTATTTATGCATTTCTCAGACTGGATGGTGAGCATATGGGAACAGTAACTTTCAAGGAATGCCACAGATTCTCAATTGGATCTAGGTCTGGACTTTGAATGGATTATCAAAGAACCTGGATATGCTTTGGTTGAAGACTTTCATGGAGCTGGCTGTGTGTAAAGCCGGTCATACACTGTGTGATATTTTCAATTGTTGCACGCAGCTAGAGCTCAAACTGTACGATGGCATCGCAGGGTTTAAGAGTTCACAGCTCACAATGCATTTTCTAACACTGTGCGGCCCGACGCTCTGATACGATCGACTTGCTCAAACTGCACGTCCAAAAACCACATGTTGGAGTGAGCACCGAGAGATGGCGCTGGTCAGACTTGTCAATCTGGAAGAAGAACTACTCCCTTATTTGCATATCTGCAGTGCTCAAGTTCTTGTAAATTGGCTCATAGCTCTGCTTCAAAAGCAGGATTTGCCCGCGAATACCTAATGAGGGCAGGCTGAATTTCAAACGTTCCGACCTTCTGATTCCTGATCAGAAGGTCGGGACTGGAGACCTAGAGAATCGGTCCGAAATGGGCAAAAATAGTACTGTGTAAACCTGGCTTATGTCTCCTACAGCTTCTGATAGGATTGTTGTGGATTTAACTACATTAACCTTGAAACAACTTTTATCAGGTTCCCTATCACCACCAAAGAACAACATACCTGCAGCGTGATGCTGCCACCACCATGCTTTAAGATGTGAATCATACATTCAAGGCAAAGCGAAATGTTAGCTTTTATGAGGTTTGCAACAAGGCTAAAAAGAACAGTTTTGGTCTCATTTAAACAAATGCTTTCTGTGTTGCCTACAGGGCTTCTGACAAACTGCAAACAGGCATTTCATAGCTTGATATCTTTCCTTCAACAAAGATTTCTTTGTCTTGATCCTAATAGTTGTCATATCAGCAGATTCTCTCACCTAAGCTGCTGATCTCTATGCCATATTGTGATGTAATTTCAGACTGAATCCAATGGAATAAACAGATCTGTGAGAATTTAAAGTTAAGTATATTGTTTAATAACCCCACTCTGCTTTAAATGTCTCCACAATTTCTCTCTGACCCATTTGCTGTGTTTCTTGCTTTTTATGATGCTGTTTTTTTTCTAGGTGCATCATCATGTTACATGCCCATCCAAGAAAAAAAAAAAAAAACATTCAATCACAATAAATATGATTAAATACACCAAGCATCCTACACAAACAAATATTTAACAATCAAATTAATGAAAGCAACCAAAACATCAGATGAATAATGAAACTCTTCTGAAGGTTACGTTAAGAAACTTAGAAATCAGAAAGAAAAGTAGGGTGTTTAGAAGGTAAGGGTGTTTGAAAAATCATGCAAAGTAAAATCTGCCAAACTATTTTTAAAATATAAAAATGCACTTTTTTTAAAAACATTTTTTGATGCCCAAGGAGAATGTTGTCCTTTAGCTCTGGTTTAGCGCAGACAGTGAGGGGGTGAGGAAACCAGTTTTCCGTAAAACAGAGTACAGTGTTTCCCCTGATGCTCAGTATTTCCTGCTGCAAGTACGATGAGTTAACTTCAAGCATGTACTTCTGGATCCTGCTCTACAAGATTCATGATCATGCTATTGTTTAGTAAGTCCAAGCATTTCAACAGAAACTCAGATGAAACAAGTGATAAGTTTTATAGGTAAACAGAAATTCTGCAAAACAAAGAAAAATATTTGATCAACTTCCATAAAAAGGGAGAGAATACCTCAGAGAAAACAATAAAAGGTCAGGCCAAGTTTTCAAATAATCCATACAGAGAAAAAAAAAAATCTTTGAGGAGTTGATAGATTGAAAACCTTTTGTTGAAGTTGGCCCTGA